CCTTTTCTGTTTATTATTTTTTATAATTCTAAAAACTTATCTGTTTCCAAAAAAAAAAAAATGGGGTTGTTGGGATTAAAAATCCCTACAACCCCATATTTTTTATTTATTTTTTACCCATTATTTAATTCAGGAAAAATGCAGCAAATTCATGTCCGCGGCGCGGACGAGGTCTACCGCGGACACGGGCGTATATACGGCCGCCCTCCGAGGTCGACCCCGCGTACACGTCCGCGGGTGTTTCGTAGGCAAATCCTGGTCTCTTTTCGCCTGGACCAGAGCGATCATATGATCGACAGTCCAAAAATTTGTGCCTGTGGACGTGTCATCCGCAGCCTTCTTGCCGTTCCGCCCTGCACACGGTTCCGTCGACTTGATTGTGGCCCAAGTACCTCCCTGCTTCCTCCCAAGCGGATGAATCTCCATCTAGCCGTCATCGTCTTCCCCGTTGTCATTGTCACCGTTGTTTGCCGTGCAATCTTCGCCCGCCCTCGCCATCGTAGTCCACGAACATATCATGACCCCTGGCGTTCATCTTTGCCACCCCTCTCGTTATGCCGGACGGCCTGGACTGATGCGATTGTCGCCGATGATCGTCCCGAACCTGTCGACACATGACCTCTGTGGCGGACCAATCATCGTCGCCCCGTTGCCCGTCGCCCGTCGATTGCATCAGTAGGTGTCGTCGATCGACAGGCCGCCTATCCCGTTGTCCTCGTCCTCGAAGCGGCCACACCAGCACTGCTCACCGCTCCCGCTTTGGCGAAACGAGTCCACTCTCGTCACCCAACTCACGGTAACACCCGCCGCACTCGCCCGGAAGCCCCCCCGCTGTCGCCGAAGGCCGTGTGCGGTTGCTGCCCAAACCTGGGTTGACGACAACGGTGTGTGTCTCATCCTAAGCACTACCAGACTTCAGACCAAAGCTCAGATCGACTTGTCCTGCGTCATAGCCGGCCGGGGTCCACCTCTCCAGAAGATCAGCGTATGTCGGCGTCGGTGGCTGTTTGAACAGCTGGCTCCCCATTTAATCCTGTGTCGAGCCGCTGCCCAGGGGAACCGTTGAGGATCGAGGGTTGTCGGCGTCGGCATCACTCGGAGGCAATGGAATCTCGTGGGGCGGCAGTTGGCTGCACAGCATCGGGTTGTACGGCCGCCTGCCACCTTCCACACCGGTGCAACGCAGACGTGAAGACCCCCCCTCCACTGGCGGCCCCGTGGTCTTCTTCTGAAGGTTGTCCATCTTCCTCGCCTTCTTTGACGTTCGCGGCGTCACTTTCCGTCCAGGAACGTGGCCGAGGAACCAGATGTGGAAGACGACAACGACAAGCAGCAGCAAAGCGACGAGGAGCAGCAAAGGCAGCCTGCGGTACGGGTCAGCCATGGAGGACAGGGCTGCGGATACGGAACACGCACTTTCGCTGTCGCATTCGAGGCGAGTGGCGACACAGTACTAGAGGAAGAAACCAAAGAAGCAGATTTCTACAATGGGGAACTGGAAGAGGGACGGCTACAAAATTCGTAAATTTGACCGTTGGGGAGCCCGCCCGAACGCCAAAACCCCTCCAGCAGCCGGCCGAAGACGTCTGATGCTCGTCACCGCCCCGACGACAGGCCGCCCGAAGAACTAACAGGGCCGTCCCACGAATCACCGGTATTGGTAAACTGAGAAGGCCGTTGCAGGACGTTGTTGATGACGACAGCCCGCAATGTCCGTCTTCCGGCCGGTGGACCACGAATGGACCACCTTCGCCCTTCAATTTTCCTTCTGGAGCCGGTGCCGTCAGCCCTTGAATCGTGGATCCTCGGGCTCCAAAGGACCTCGCGAGGTCCTTCAGAGTCGAGGACGATTTGCCTGAGGATCTGTCCTCGGAGTGTTTTCACATTTGTTTTCTTAAAATCGACTCCGAGGACAGGTGGAAAGATGCCGAAATCCTTGGAGTCGCGTCCCCGAGGAGTGTCTAACGATGCCCTTACTCGATTCGGCCATTTCGGGTTCTTCTTCTGTCGAACACTATTTTTGAGCTATCGCGTTTCAGTCGTAGGTTAGGACTATATATGTCTGGATTTATCTGCCTTTCTCATCCCGATGAGGGCCGGTACACTGGCGGACCGGCCGAAACATATCAGGCAATCGCCAGTCCTTCTTCAAATTCCGGCGGCGCATTGCACCCATTTTTACTGTGTCAGCCATCATTGAATTTTTTGAGCTGGCATGCTTGGGGACTACGCTACCATCCTTCTTGTTCTCCCTTTTCTCCCTTCCTCCTTTTCCTTCTTCTTCTTCACTCTGTTCCTGTTCTCTTCCTCTTTGGCCTGATTGTGTTATCACACGGCTTATATGTTATGTGTTCACCATTGCTCCCCTCCATCTCATGCTTCCCTTGTTTTTGTTTTTCCCCACCCTGACAACAGCCTCAACAGGGGCTCGTTCGACACTACTTGGGGCGCCCCGAAGGAAGTTTCATTGGGAGTTTTCAAGGAAATTCCCGCCATCGTTCCACCTGTCCTCGGGGACGTCGCCCGAGGACATTTTCTTCAAACGATGTCAGACAAGAAAAAAGAAAAGAAAAGAAGAAATCAAATGTGTTTGAGGCCTTCAGCCAATAGGGTGCCGCCACGATCCAGATTCTCTGTTGTAACGTCTCTCTACCCATGTGCCCACTCCTCTCCGTGAAACGCGGATTCCTTTTGCCCAAGCGACCTCGTGAGGTCCCTTGGGCAAAAGGAAGAAATGACTGGGGAATCCTCGGAGCCCAAGGAATTACCTTCGGAGTGTTTTCACTTTTTTTTTCTGACTGCATCCCCGAGGATAGGTCTCCGGGACTTTACTCGCCCGAGGAGTGTCGAAAGAGCCCCATTGTCTTCTTAAAAAGGGACACTGGACCCTGTTTCCAGCAGGTGTAGGACCGTGTAGCTCCGCACCAATAGACAGGAGCCATCCAATGAACTATGCCTCAATCCTGGTGGGTCACTCACCACCACCAGAATAGTGGCCTCGCAGGCTCGCACTTTTTTTTGTTTCTTTTTTCTTTTTTTCTAACTTGCCAATACATTTTTGCACCGCTGTCCTGCATTTGCATTTCTCGCACCCATGTGGGCCATGTCCAGTGCCTATGGCCGGTAGGGGCCGCTAATGCCAGTAGGCCCGAGGTGTAAAAATGACATGAAAGTATGTTTTAGCCTGTGGCAGAGCACACGGTTGGGGGGCAAACAAGTACAAAGCTTTTCCAGGGCGAGGATCTACTACTTTTCCCAAGTTTTTCTCTAGAGTGGACCACACGATTTGTGCCTCTTGGGAGTAAACAACAAATACAATGC